AGAGTGTAATCTCACCAAGGGCCAGCTGGAAGCTAATTGGAACCATTCCTCCCAACTGGACTCCTAATGGGGTTCTTGAACTATGGTAATCTACTCCTTGTCAAATACACACAGCATATTGCAATATAAAACTAACACTGGACAAGGATTATAATTTTCTTCTTAATTCTTAAAAATCCAGTCAGATTTGTTTATATTATGAAATATATATTTTTTACTTTACTTGAATTAAATGATATGTTAATTAACTATGTAAGGATCATTCTTAAATAATGCTTTCTATTTATTTCCATGGAAATTACAATAGATAAAAGGACAATAACACCACTGGATAGAGCAAGTTTTTATCTACAAAACGCTATTTTCCCACAGAGTTAACACCTGCAATAAAGAGAAGCCTGTGCAGAGCTGTCCAGAACACAACTTGTCACATGCATCATTGTCAACATTGATGAAATGCATTATACACACTTTCATATTGGATGCAATTTTGCCAGTTTTTTAATTGCTATATGTTAAAAAGAAAAAAAAAAGAAAAACTATGGGTTATTGACAGGAAGATTCGACCTATATTACTAATATCACCAACATCTATCTCTTTTGTTGTGGTTCAATATAATTCTCATGTCAAATTTTATGCAAGTCAATGTTTTTGTAACAAAACTGATATTAACTCATGTTGGTAAAATTTTCAGGATATATTTGTATGAGGTATAAATCAAATGTGTTTCTGTCTATAATACTATTTTTATTATAAAAAATATACTGATAATAATTTGTTTTGATAGTGTCAAGTTTTATACAAACTCAGTGTTACATAAACTTTTATTTATATATAAATCCAAAAGACAGACTCATAGAACCATATATTTGATTTATATATGCCATATACGTGAATAAATTATTTTACATGTTAATATAGACTCCTTGACATTCCATAACTTGCATCAATCTTTGTACATTTTCTGCTGCTTAAACTTTAACAATATTTGCAATGATTTATATTGTTTTTCCAGATATCTTTGCTTGAATATTGTTTTCAATTCTTATATAAATCTCTTTTAATGATTGACCATAAGTTTTCTATTAGATTAATATATGGAGAACATGAGGACCATTTCATGAACTTTATTTTACTTGTTTATGTGTTTCTGAGAGCATTTTAAGCAAGGTGAGCAATAACAAAGAATGTGAAGGCACTTTGTCTTGCAGGAACATACTGTTCAGCTTAAAACTTCATGATTCTAACTTATGCCTTTTAAAAGAACATCTTGTTCAAGAACTTATAATTCAGTGCATTGATCATAACATCATCAACTTTGAAGAGATGTATAATTTTACTGATCACAATATAGCACAAAATATTAATTTGCTTCATCTTTATTATTTTCTAGGTCATGGTGGTTGAAAGTATCCATGAAAGATCCAACACCTAACCAAACAATCAGGTCCATTCAATATTTCTCTACATTCATCATTAAATTTTTCATGTAACTGCATCCCCTATTTTTTAATCATTTTACCCCAAGCAAGGTGATAAAACCACTGAGATGTAAGGGGTTACTGAGAGAGAAAGGGCAATCTCTATATGTCTGAAATTAAAAAATATATAAATTAATATACTATATATATTGGAAAACAATATATAATTTTTTTAAAATTTACATCCATGCTTTTACATTTCACCATTCTTGTCATATCTATTATCACTATATGGAATATTTAATAACAAAATTGATAAATACATGAACAAACAGAAACTATGTGAAATTGGCCAGCCTATATACCCAAAATTAACTTAAAATTACAGTGTCCCCTCTCCTTCATGCACATGTGTAAAATGCAACAAACAAAAAAAAAATTATTTTGTCATAGATTTTCCTTATATATATGTGTGTGGATATAAACCAAATAATTAGATGTTAGGAACTGTATATGCATGTGTTAGCATGTATACACAGATAAATATATATATATATATATATGATGGCTGTCTATTTGTCAGACAAGCATGATGATCATTGACAAAAAGCATTGACAAGGTTGAATGTGTTGTCAAGCATGGGATCAAGCGTGACTTTTGAGGCCAGCAAAGGATCTTATATCCACACAATACACTTGTTCTGTTTGATTCCTTTGATGTCCTAGATGTTTTTTGTGTACCCTCAAATGTCTTGCAAAGTGGCGCATATATAAAATATATATACAACTGTTCCTTCCTTACACTATATATATATATATATATATATATATATGAAGAAATATAGTTTTAAGATATGCTATATTTATAGGAGAAAGTGCTCAATATCAGAGATAGAGCGTATGTAAACATAAAAGTAAACCTTCAAGTCAATACTCGGAGGCAACAGGCTGTTTCATGCTAGACGCAATCATCAGGCCCTGAGTATTGTTTTTTTCTCAACTATTTGTATATATGGGTCAGTGGTGCATTGTGAGTAGTCCATTCTGGTGGTTATTTTGCCGAGAGTGGCTTGTTTGTTTACTTATTTATTTATTTATTTGGGTTAATTTATTTTACTTGTTTTCATTTTTTATTTTATATATTTATTTATTCATTTTGGTTTTTGATATTTTATTAATGTGGTAAAAATTTTGGTGGAATTTGCTTAGGTCACCTATTTAATAGTTTGTTTTGGTCTGGGAAATAATATTATATATATATATATATATATATATATATATATATATATATATTGTATATATATTGTAAGGAACAGTTCTGGTTGTTTATTTTTTATATACCTGCTTCAATAATTATTATTATTATTTATATTTTGGTTATGATCATATCCATAATAGTTTGGGATCTGGTTGTAATTATTTTGATATTAAGATTGGATAATTGGATTGTTTTTGATAGTGGATGAGAAGGAGTTACTAGGTAATATTATATGTCTATTTTTATCTAGTCTATTGTATTTGTTATTATTAACAAAGTCATTTTTTGTGGTTGCATATTTTTTATGCCTTTCTTTTAGCTTTGTGGATGAAATAATTGGAGGCCTTTTAATGTGTTTTCTATGTATATTTCTTCTTTAGGTAAGTATTGGGGCACTGCAGATTCTTAGTGTTCTTAAATAGATTTTATTCTGTTATAGTGATAAGAATAGAAATTAATAAGGTCATTCCTATTGGTAAAACCCCAAATGAAGTATTAGTTCTATAGTATAGCAAGATATCTATGAAGGGAAAAGTTTTATTAGTCTCAGATTCAAAGGTAAAATCTGTGTGTCCAACATTAAGTTTGTTAACAAGATCGGGTAAAACTATGTCACTTGAATATATTAATAGAGAATCATGTATGCATCTAAAATATCCATAACAATAATAATTATTGACCAGGTATATATATATATATATATATATATATATATATATATATATATATACACATTACTTTCAGGGGCACTCTTGCAAAACAGCAAAAAAAAGATTATTTCTCTAAAAAAGAAAAGCTGAAAGGATAAATCAATAAATATGTAAAATTTATTTTAACAACAATCCAAGATATGAACTATAAATTGTGTGAAAATACAAATATCTGGGAAGGGTTTTTTTTTTCCAGTAGAGGACAGAGAATATGAAACCAAAATGTGAAGGTGTATTGGAATAGCAAAAGCTATTAAGAAACATGAAAATGTTGTTAGAAACAAATGAAAGAACACTGAACTCTTGGGTAATATCAAACCTCGTTTATAGTAGTGAATGCTGAACAATGAAAAAAAGACTTGAGTCAACAGTAATGTGGTTCTACAGAAGATATGCTGAGAATACTATGGACAGAACAACAAGGAAGATTTAAGGAAACTTCTTTCTTTTTTTTTTTTTAAAGCGTTTCACCCCAAGCAAGGCGGGAAGCCACTAGGACACAAGGGGTTACAGAAAATTTGGAGCAAGATCAGATAGGAGTGATAGAAGAAAGGATGAGGAGAAGGGTAGTGGATAGATTAAGGCAACTGCAGATGTCGATTGACATTACATTTGAATAGCTGGAGATTATAGCTCTCAGGGAAAGTGGAATAGGGAAAGGAGACGAGAGGTGCGAGACATGAAGCTATTGAAGTAGAAGAGACAGCTACATTTAGGAGTTTCAACAGTGAAGGGGTGAGAGCAGGATACCAGCCTCGTAGGGCGCTTGAACTCATGAAGTCTGGGAACCAGCGAATGCAGCTCCTCGGAGCAATTGCCATGAAAGTATTTGTAAAACAGACAGAGAGAGGCGACGGCGCATCTGTGAGGAAAAAAAAAAAGAATATATTTGCTCAGTATTAGAAAGAGACAGCTGGAATTTCTTGTACACATAAGGGAGAATGATGACCAACTCTTGAGGTATATAATAAAACCTCACACACAATAAATTAATATAAATATTCTTTTAAAAATACTACATTGACTTACATAATAAAACCTGATACTGTGTAGGTGGCATTACACTTACAGAACATTAGAAAAAAATTATTTCTCTAAAAACAAAGTCAAAGTAAAAAGTAAAATTTATACATATACCGCATAACAGTTTTTAAATCCCCTAGAAACCTGTAAAATCTCCTCTTAACATGATCATGTGATTCAATTATAACAACCTCTTTACATATATACCAATCTCCAATGCAAAATAAGTTATAGGTCTATATTCATAATCAAGTATTTACATTTTTCCATACAAAAATGTAGAAAAATCAGTGCCTATAAATACTGACTTTTAAACTTTTTACATCTAAATTTCAAAAACTTATTGTCCTAAGTTTCACAGGTGTAATCTGCTCATCAGATATTTAAATAGTTCAATTGAATTTTATCATAATCCAGGGATGTTAGATAGATGAACAGATTAATCTTGGCAATGATCAAAGTCAGGAAAATAAGTTTTTTCAAATTTTATTTAATTTGTTTACTGTTGATGCTATGTTTCTTAATATTGTGCACTTTACTTATAAAGACTGTTTGCCTTAAATGTGTTATCCTTCAGAAAGGCTTCTATTGAAACACTGGTTCCTGTATGATCACCGAGGTTAAGCAGTGTCAAGCCAAGTTAGTACCTAGATGGATAACCACTTCAGAATACCAGGTGCTGTAAGTGTGTATATGCAGGTGGCATATTGGAAAATGGCTCAGAATTGTTAATAAGAGAGCTAAGTTCCAATTCCAGTCAGGTTTGTTATATTCACTTACATGTAAATACCGTTGGGAAAGGTATGAATCCAACTCTTCTCTACCCAGCTATGGGTTAATTGAATCACTAAATCATTATTATCAACAACAAAAAAATCTTACAATCTAAAAATATTTTCTGGCTCTAAATAAACTGCAAAGGATTGATAAGCCACAGAAAATGAATCAATCAAAATCCTTCAGAAATACACTGGTTGACAGTTATTTTTACTTTGCTTTTTTGTTTTGCTTTTGCAAAACACAATCATTATTATTCTTATCTAAATTTATTGGTTGAAATTCTGAAAAACTGCAGATCATAGCATCAACCTTTTCCTCCTAGTTTAATAATAGATTTTCATTAGTTCCATTATTTCTCATTTTAAATGTCAGTGTGATGCTGACTAGATAAATATTTAGAGAGTGAAGAAAAGAATAAGACAACTAGTATTTATAAAGTTCAAATCCATAATCTACATACAGGCATGAATACATCTGGTTCTGCAATAGCAGAACATGTACTAGTTTTTCAGTCGTAAGCCAGTTGCATTCAGATATTCATATGAAAGTATTAGAGATATTATATATTAAATCTTTACAGCCTTTCCTCCATAAACAGAAAAAAATGGCTTTTTTTTCAGTATATATTTGTATATTACTAATATATGTGTATCAGTTATCTTCATTAAATATTTTTTTTCTTTATTTTGTTCACACCTGTTTTAAGTCCTCGGTCAAGCTCTGAAAAGTGATAAGAATGAAAACCAGTCACCTTTCTTTTTTTAATTTATGGTAATTATAACCTATTTCTTTAGACTATTATATTTTTCCTTGTTCTTCAATAAAAAAAAAAAAAATCTGTTTTAATGGCTATAATAATGAATTTGTTTGGTAAAATAGCACAAGAAATCCTTCAAGCTGTAGGCAAACTGGCCCGCCATTTCCAGAAACTCTACGCATGTTGCAATGAAGGCAGAACAATTTCTGGAGGTAAAGTTAAAAAAACAAAATCATGAAATCCCAGACTTCCAAATGAAAGAGTGTTAAGAAGATATATCAAGTTACCACCAAGGGTGAAGCATGTTTACTATTTACCAAACACAGATTAGAATAAAACCACACACACCAAAAGTTGGCATTCCACAAGACTTGATGTACAGAATTAGAAGCTGGAATCTTGAGATACATTGAAGAGGTAAATAATAAAACAGTACACTTGTGTTAAAAAGAAGAAAAACTGAAATTTAATTTTTTTTCTTTTCTTTCTACCATGATTGTTTTGTGATATTCAACTTGCAAATTTTCCATTGCTTTCTATGTTATTTTCCAGACCAAATCTGAGTTAAAAATTAAGGAGTTCAAGTCCCGTGGGGTTTACCAAACTAAAATTTACAACATAAAAATGTTAAAAGAAAAAGAGAGAAAGATTACAGAAAAAGAGTAGATTTATGTATTTTCTGTGCGCTTCCAGTTGACAATGACTCAGAAATTTTTATTTGCCCCAAATACTCGGTTTCATCTCTTCTTCTCATGTTTCTTCTTTTTTAAATGATTTTTTTTCCCTTCGTGTCTGGCATTTTTTTTGATATAGACACAAATAGGGAACAATATTTTATAGACACAAAGCATTCAGTCAATATTTCATTTATACTTAGTTGCTTCAAACTTAGTCATTTCCATACAAACATTTATATATTTAGCTAAATCAGTAAATCCCGACTCTAATGATAAAGAAGCATTTATTTCACATAACAAATTTTTAATTTTCTACATGATCTCCTTCCTTGGCAGTGCACTTAATTTAGTAGTGGATAACACAGATGGAAGTTCAGATAAAAATTCAGTTAATTAAGTGTCAGGCCACAAACTCTTAAAATAAAAAATTCAATAGAACTATGGCATTTAATGAGAAAAGCTTTTAATTGCTTTTATAAATAAGATATATTAAGGACATTATTGTCTTAAGAAAAATTTTTCAATGAATAATGAATTTTTTACAAGAATTGTTTTCATTTTTTTTTTAAATTTTAATTAGAAAAATTTATTAAGTTTTAAATCTTTTAGATTTATGTATTAATTTCAGCCTTTTAGGGAATATTATTAAGTGAAAACTATAATTACTAATCATAAATGGAAAAGCTTAGTCCAATTAATCAAATACCAATATTTTTAAAAGAATTTTGAATTTTTTTTTGTGTATAAACATGTTGATTTTTTGGAAGTATCAGCGACCATTATCAGAAAATAAGGGCAATAATTATAGTACGTTTAAAGTCAACATTTCTAAAATACAATAAAACATTAGATTATGGAGAATATTTTCCTAAATTTTTAAGATTACTGAATACTTAAAAATTATATAAAAAAGGTGTGCACCATTTTATTCAGTTATATTTTAGAGATAAAATCTCTGTAGAACAACATTAGAACTGTCATCAGGCTGTCAATACATCAACACAGCTACTGTTGGGTTAAAAATGCATTTCTGCATTAAACCTAAAGTAAATAATATTTGTTTCAAATTAATTATACATTAAATCAGCTAATATTCCTCAAGTTAAGTTTCAGAAATGTATACTTTATTTTTGTTGTTACACGGTGACCTCAGGGAGTTAATCAGAAGAAAGAAAAAGGAAAGAGATTAATAACTGGATGATAATTGTCAAAATTCACAGGAAAGTAGACTGAAAAGTTGAGAAGAAAATTAAAAACACAATACGTTGAAAAAATTATGTTTCAAAATAAAATGAAATCACAAACAGTTCCAAGGAGAATCGAACCCAAATTTAACTAGAAAGAATTCAGTAAGAACGAGTAAAACCAAAACTACACGTCCTTCCAACCAACAAAAAAGAAAATGTATCATTGAAGATGCTGACACCAGAAAATAGAAAAACATGTTTTTGATAAAGAAACATATGGATGGTCAGCGAAATAACATCTAAATTGTTCTGGACAAAGACCCAGGAAAAACATCTGTTTTGAATCAGCCACCCAGAAAGAAAATATCCCTACAAAAATGATATTAAAATGAACAAACTGTCCCCATCTATGATTGGGGACAGTTCGTTCATTTTAATTTCTGTGACATTCATCAAAATTTTTATGGCTGGCATTCTTTAGGAGACAAGCTGATAAAGAAAAATTTATTACTAGCCCTGGAGTGACCATAGGTGACTGACTGTGTGGCTTGGTTGACTGAAAGACACATACGATTTCATATAAGCTGTAGATTTGGATAACAAGTGAAGAGTCCATACATTACTGCTACTGGAATTCACATTATTTGTGAAACTTCCTAACCAAGACTTTGTGCCAGCCCTGAAGACCATAACCTAGAAATTTAAATTACTACTAACACAGGCTGTAAACTGCCATATTCAACAAATCATATATAAACCAAATCATTGTTACATTTTTAACCAGAGTTAATTTTTTATACCAAAGGATTCTTTTTTGTGTGGCTCCGAGCCATCAGCCTATTCTTCACTTCAGTTTAATTCATCAGAAATCTTTTAACCTTCTGAGATCAAAAACACAACATGGCAGGATTGTCAAGGAGACAAACACCAATTAGATCGAGTGGAACTATGCTCATCATCATGATACCAGCAAGAAACAAGCAATGTGTTAACGAGTGAAGAGTCAGCTAGATGGTAACCATGGTGGTCTGAAGGAGGGATTATATTGTAAGATCTTTTGATAAAGAGAATTACATTGCAACAAAAGACAACTAAAAAAAGAGTATTAATTAGCTATTTTAGCAAAAAAAAAATCCCCTTCCAGTCAAATTAGTTTTTGAAATACAGCAAAGTATTTTGCTTATTCAAAATATTAAATTTGATCTATTAGCTTAAAATTAAAACTAAAATAAAAGCTTCAAGAAAGATTTTTCATTTTTAATATATAATTGTTTATTTGGACAGCAAACCCTCTTTTGTACAAATTTCATTAAAGATGACTGACAAGGTATTGTGATTAAGCTTTTTATTCAATTTCTTTTGCATTCATACAAATATTTTCTTGTCTGGAAATAAAGTGTGGAAAAACTAACCAAATGTTCTATGGATCAGAGCACTTTTGGCTATTCTGTTAGCTATTATCAAAGATTTTATTTTTATTTTTAAGTGAATATGTAGTTTTTTATATATGTGTATCTGTAGTGATGAGAATGTTCTTTTTATTTTTCAAACATGTTCAACACATTGTGGCCATGTTCATAGTTGATATTATTGAGTGTTGCCTTTCTTTTTTATTATTAATGTTTCCATTATTTTTAGCCATATTTTACATATGGATGAGGCTATTATGGTCATATCTTGGTAGGTATGTGTGTGTGTGTGTGTGTATATATATATATATATATATATATATATATATATTATGAAATGGACTAAGTCCAACAATTATTTTTAATATATTTATTGTTTATCTTTGTTATTTTTATAGATACAAATATTTAAGTAAATGCTCTGTTTATAATAAACAGTATTAACAACATTTACAAGCCTGAATGTCCGAGAAATTTCATAAATAATGTGTCCTCCAATAGGAATTGAACCTGTATCTTACATGGAACTGTCCTATACCATTTAGCTACAGAGGTTAGCAAAGTCAATTTAACTCTTTTAAACTACAAATTTCTCATGATTTCTCTCAAACACTTATATCTGCTCAAAGCATATCTTAACGTTTACAAATTACTACTATATATTATGAAATGGACTAAGTCCAACAATTATTTTTAATATATTTATTGTTTATATGTTATTTTTATAGATACAAATATTTAAGTAAAAACTCTGTTTATAATAAACAGTATTAACAACATTTACTGGCCTGAATTTTAAAAAAATATTAAAAATATAAAAAGAAAAAAATTAAAAGAAAGACAATTAATGGCTGGTTACTTGTATCTAAGTATGC